GAAAATTTGTCAATGTCATGGAAACACTATTATTGAACTCCACTAAAACCCTATTAATTTTGATTTTGATTTTTTGAATTAATTTCACTACAAATTGTAAAATTCTGTGCAAGGTCATATTTAACGATTAATTGTCGATTTAAGGCAAAGTGATTATTGGAAAACATTCAAGACTCCATAGTAAAGTCTAAAATTATACTTAAGGCAAATGATATCCATGGGTTAGTTAAGAAATTATTAATAGTAATAAATAATCCAGTAAAMAGGTGAAATTCCCAATAAATTGATAAAATAATGAAAAAAATTGATGGGCTGGCTCTAGCATTTACAAAGCATGGTCTTCATCACACGGAATTTTTTCATCCTCATTAATCAAGTGTGAGCCATCATATGTCATTGTACACCTAATGAATTCTGCTTTTMCTGACGTTTTGCCAACAAAGACCTCAAATTCTGAAACACCTGTATTTGGGCATAATTTACAGATCTTGTCTTTCCCTTTGCATAAAAACTCTGATGGTATTTCTCTTGAAAAGTGGTAAAACAGCTGCCTAATAGTGCCTCCATGACAAGTAATGAGAACATTTGCAGCTGTGGTTGAGGCCGAAGCCTCTTGAACTCTAGATTCAAGACTTTTATCACCTTCATCCATTGTCTTGCCATTCTCTGCATTTTGAGCAATGTTCTTGCAAAGATCATCAAAGAATTCTACAGCTCTTTTAGCCAACTGTTGAATACTTTCTCCTCCTTTKGGGACGTAATCTTTCAATACAAAGTTATGCTTCTGAGCTAATTGTTTTATTTCATCTTGTGTTTTTCCTTCGAATTCACCATATTTCTATAGAAAAATATCAAAGATTATTAATGATTATATATAAATGATWAATTTTAATTTTTCAATTTAAATTTGAGGTCAGAGTTTGTTTTTTCCCTCCATAAGAATCAGTTCAAACATACAATTCCATTTATTACCATGTGCAATAAGATTAGAGGTAACCGTCGTGTTGTGAAAACTAGTTTAATGCCAATCTTGGCAGGCTTTCCCTCCTCCACAAAAAATTACTTCTAAGGTTAAATTCAATTTTCGTTAAAACAAAAAAGTGTGTTTCCTGTACATGTTGCATGAGAAAAATAATTGGGGTCGGTAGGTCGGATTTTTTTTACCGATACAACAGTGGAAATGAGCTTACTGGGAACCCTGTGGTGCATTTGGGAATTTAAAAAATATTAGGGTCAGCAAAAGTCAGCAAGAAAATTAGGGTCATCGTGCAATAGGAAACACACTATGATTTTTTGTTTGGCCTTAGATTGTTGTGATATTAACCTTTTCTCTGATTCGTTGATCCTTCACTAAAACTAAGTCCTTCGCATGTTTGTTCTTCCTAAGAATACACTCTCCAGTCTAGAATTTAAAAAAACTTGCAATAAATATGAGTGCGTGGGGTGGTGGGAAGAGAGGAGGGTGGGAGGGGGGGGGGGGTACAGATATTTAGACTCAAGCTACCCCCATCCCTAGCAATTTCCAAATTATTTCCTTGATGAGATTTATTAAAGTGGAAATTATAGTTACTGTGTGGACACTCCAACCAGGACCACTTTGATAAACTATCATCATTAATCAATCATATTGCAAGATTTTGTTTAATATTTTTAACCAGCCAATCAGAGGGCACATCAATATGAGAACGTGAGAACGTGATAATCTGATTGGCTAACACTGTTATTAGTTCAATCTCTGTCTAGTTTACTGTTATCTGATTGGTCAGTTTTATTCAAGTGGTAACGGTTAGTGAGTCGATCTGCACAGTAATATTCTAAGTTGGCAGCCATCTTAGTCAAACCTGGGACGGCCATTCATCATAGCACGGCTTTTATTGCCTACCTTGTAAGCTCTTTGTAAATCACTACTAAAAGCATGAGTAAACACTTTATCTTGTAACCTGTCTGCAACCAGTTCTGCTTGTTTCATACCTTCGTCAGAAAGAACTGTATCTATATGTCCTGGGAAGAAGAACAAATTCAAATGACACTCATATACTTCAGAAGAAATTCATTTTCCCAGGGAAAAATAAGATAAATAATATTGTTCATTACAGTGCGAATCAAAAAACAGTGGGCACCTAGAAATATTCTAGGAATGTTCTATTATTCTTTGGCCAATCAAAATTGACTTTCTAACCACAAGATAACGGAATGATAACAGTAATGCTTCTGATTGGCTGATTAAACATTCTTGAAATATTTTTAGGTTTCAAAGTATGAAATTATTTTGAGAAAATTTAATAATCGTTCGAAGTTGGGAGATTGTCTCGTCGCATTTGCTTTTTAACAAAAAATAATCGTAGTTTGGGCCAGCTAATTTTTGTTCGGCCTGAATTTTAGTTAAATATATGCTTAAGCCGGCAAAACAAGACAAGTGAATAAGTGTTAGAACAACTAGACACTTAAATAAAATTTTTTTAGGTGAACAGGGTGGTGAGAAGTTAGAACTAGGAAAGAGGAGAGGTAACATTATGTGAAGAACTTAACCCTTCCTTGACTGAAAATTATCTCATGGATCATCTTACCCTGATGTATGTTCTTCCTGTTCTCCATAGTTTCACCACTGGAAAAAATATTTTAAAACTTAATATTACCACTGTTTTCATGGCTACTCGCTCACATTTGCCACAGGGATATCAGGCAATAGACTACTCAATCAAAAAAAACTGTTCACTAGTKTTGCRGCCTYGTTACAGTAATAATTYATGAGGAGAAAACAAAGAAAATTACTAGCATGAAGGAAAATTGGAAATGTTATTGCCAAGAATTCCAAGAACTCCAAGAACTATAAATAGTTTGAGAAGMCATATCAAGCACTTGAAAGAGTGTTTCATCCTTTATCCAAACACCTCAAAGTTGGTTAAAATAACTCGGCTCCACCTCGTTTTTTCAACTCACTTCTAGCTGTTTGGAAATAGGATGAAACGCTTTCACATGTTTGATATAAGGCTTATTACATGAAAAATTTGATAAGGCATGCAAACTCTTTTTTTAAATAAATCAGAAAGAAAAAAATTTGATAGCATGAGGTCACAGAGTGAAAAACTGAAATAGGTGTAAAAATTTACAGTGACGTCATCATTACATCAAAATTTACCGACAAGTTCCCAAATTTTTTTAGGTCATCCAGTGTAATGATGAAATAAAAAATGCTCGTGCATGCTGTGTGCAGTCATAAAGCATGCAGGAGTTGGCAGAACACAAGAGAAGTGTTAGGATAAGCATGACGCGTAGCAGAGTGCTTCTTGACACTTCTCAAGTGTTCTTATGATATAATTTATGCTGCTCTTTTGTACACTCAACTGAAGAATCGTTGTTGGGTTCAGAAACATAGAACATAGAAGCTGAGACCGAAATGGCACATGGAAAATGACATAATTATATTATAATTTATTCATTTGTGCCATCCATGCAGTCGGTTTACAATGCCAAACGCGTATTWAAAACAGTGGATGATGCCACGGGTCGCCGGTCACAGCGTGCATCTAATTAACGTACTTCCCATGTGCCATTTCGGTCTCAGCTTCTATGTTCTATGTTTCTGAACCCGACTAGTAAAGCTGGTGCTGTATGCATTAGAGTGCAAACAATATAACCTTGAAACTTTAGTAATACCAGTGGCGGATCCAGGATTTTTCAAAGGGGGGTTCTGTTTCTTAAATTGTGTATAATTCTCTTTTGTTTAGTCAATGTTTGACAAAAAATTGGCTCTAATCACCTAATTTACTATCTAGTAACGGAACTTAAAGGTAAATTAAACATCATAACAGCAAATATTTATCATTTCGTGTTCAACATTATCCTTGTGGATACTTTTAAGCAAAATTTATATAAGACATATTTCTATTACCTAAAAGATCAAACCTTCAAGGGGGGTTCYGTGGAACCCTTCGACCCCCCCTGGATCCGCCACTGAATACTAAATAGCACAATTTCATGCAAATTCCATTAAWTTAGCACTATTTTGGACTATTTAGTAATTAGTGTTTCACAGATTGTTTGCACTCTAAGATTATATTACGCTGGAAATAGTTCAAATATTTTACCTAAAATGGCTTTAGATCTCTGAAAATTTCAACCCTGAACATTGAGAATTTTCTTAAATATTCGTATATTATTATTATATATATTCGAAAACGCCGTATTTTTTAGTGTACCGAACCGGGACCGAATGGCGACCGTTCGTGCAGGCCGAATGCGTTCAAAATCATCATAAAAAGATCCATTGATCAGGATGCTTATTTGTTTATAAGGAAAAAACATTACTTACTGCCTAACAACGCAGAGATCGAAGCGAATCATGTTTTTTAAGGCAGATTTACCAGGAACTTTTGTTTTTCTTGAACTTTTGCTCATTTGCACAGTAATATTTTGATATTCCTTTTGGGTATGCCCGCTGTGTGGAAAATGMGCAGTCTCATGACACAGGAAACCCGTCAGGAAAAAACATAAACGCTGGAATCCCAAACCAATGACTTCAAAAAACCTTTAGATTTTTTTCGAACCAATATAAAATGACATTTATTATATTTTTGGTGTCTGTTTGAGTGTGAATTTTTGCGTGTAAAAAGATTTTTTAACATCCTTAAAAAAGCGAAAACGATCCACAGCGCTGAAGAACAACAATGACGTCATATATGTGTAGGGAAAGCCCTTTGCAGGAATATGATTGGYTGATTATCTTAGGAACGCAAAGCGAATATTTCCGTGTTCATTGAGCAACAGTTGACCTCGCAAGATGAGCCGCCATAAAGCGCTWAATATCGTTTTAGTCGGCGACTCAAAAGTTGGAAAATCGACKCTCATCTCAATATGTCATATTCAGAACCCAATTTTGGACGACAAAGGAATCCCAACTTATAGGAGACAATTTGAATCCTCAAAGACTTACWCGCCTACATCTTTCAAGTCCTATCGCACGGATRTTCGCCTTCGTGGATACTACTCTATGCCACACACGACAAAGCGTGTCTTTCAGACCAATATTATCGACGTTGGTGGTTCTAAAAGATACGATGATGTACGTCCTCTTGCTTATATGAACTGTAATGTCTTCCTCTTGTGCTTTGACTTAACTAATCGTGCTTCTTTGGAGAGCGTGCAATCAAGATGGCTRCCGGAAATCAGACATTACGAACCCCAAACGCCAATAATATTAATTGGGAATAAAGCTGATCTGAAAACAGAGTAAGGCATACTCACTGTAGTCAGTGGAGCCATTCCTGGTAATAGTGTTTGCCAACAGGAATGGCTCTGGCAAACAAGCTTCCAGTATACCTGATGTGTCACCCACACTGTAGTCAGTGAAGCCATTCCTGGCAATAGTGTTTGCCAACAGGAATGGCTCCAGCAAACAAGCTTCCAGTATACCTGATGTGTCACTTCCTGTAGTCAGTGGAGCCATTCCTGGCAATAGTGTTTGCCAATAGGAATGGCTCCAGCAAACAAGCTTACAGTATGTCATGTGTCACTCACTGTAGTCAGTGGAGCCATTCCTGGTAATAGTGTTTGCTAACAGGAATGGCTCCAGCAAACAAGCTTATATCTGATGTGTCAC